TAAGCATACATGTATGTTCATACTAGAGGCCTGGTACACAGAATTTGTGCATGGGTGGGGTCCCTAGGCCTAGCCAGTGATCAGGGCCAATCAGGTTACCCCCCTCCTTTCCTTACCGCCACCATGCAGTTCCCCGTCTCGCCGCCCATGCGCCACCACCGCGCAGTTCCCTACCTCCCCACCTGCCCCCTCCTCTTTCCCTCGCCACCCATGTGCCGTCCCTGCACAGTTCCCTACCTCCCCCCCTCACCGCCCGCGTCTGCTGCTACCCAGCTCCAGTTCCCCATCCCAGCCTGGGGCCCGGCCCCTTATCAGGACCTGCCAGCCCCGGGGAGGGATGGGGAGAGGGACCCAGGAGGTTGACCGCCAGCTCTCTGCCCCCCTGGGAAAGGGGCTGCGCCTGCCACCACCCACCCCCGGTTCCCTGTCCCAGCCGGGGTGAGGGCCTGGGAGGTTGGCCGGCAGGCCCCATCAGCGATCGGGTCCTGCAGGCTGGGGGCAGCTTCTGCATTGAGCATCTGCCCCCTGGTGGTCAGTGCGCATCATAGCAATCAGTCGTTCTGTCATAACGGTCGTTTAGGCTTTTATATACCAGTATATAGATATATGTAACTGTACATTATCAAGTACATTGCTGCTGTCTTTTTGAACAAACTTTTGTTAGATCAATTAAAATAAGAAAAATAAAAAGTTTTATTTTATTTTTACTTATTTTTTTTCCTTTGGTACTCTTTCATTCTTATGTAGATTCAAGATTCTGATCTATATTATTTTCCTTCTCTTTAAATTTAGAACTGTTAACATTTCCTGTATTGCAGGTCTACTGGCAACAAATTTCCTCGATTTTTGTTTGCCTGAGAAAGTCTTTATATCTGTCTCCTTTACTTTTGAAAGATAATTTCACAACATACAGAATTGTAGATTGGTGGGCTTTTTCTCTCAATACTTTATAAATGTTTCACTCCACTCTCTTTGTCCTTGCATGGTTTCTGAGTCAGATGTAATTCTCATCGTTGCTCCTTTATTTTTTTTTTAAGTGTTTTTTCCTCTGTTGTGTGTGTGTGTGTGTGTGTGTGTGTGTGTGTGTGTGTGTGTTTTGTTTTGTTTTCTTCAGGATTTTCCCTTTATCTTTGATTTTCTTTTTTTTATAGTTTTAAAACATGCTTAGGTTTACTTTTTTGGGCATTTATCCTGCTTGGTCTTCTCTGAGCTTCCTGGATCTGTGGTTGACATTAAATTGGGTAAATTCTCAGACATTATTTCAAATATTTCTTCTGTTCCTTTCTTCTCCTGATATTCCTATTTCATGTATGTTATGCCTCTTGCAGTTGTCCCACGGTTCTCCAGTATTCTGTTCATTTCTTTCTGTCTTTGTTCTCTGCTTTCGTTTTGGAGGTATGTATTGAGATATTCTTAAGCTCGGAGATTCTTACCTCTCTAATAAGCTCATCAAAGCCACTCTTCATTTCTCTTAGTGTTTTTTTTTTTTTTATCTCTAGCATTTTGTTGTTATTCTTAGGATTTCCATCTCTGCTCTCATTACTCATTTGTTCTTGCATGCTGTTTACTTTATCCATTAGAACCCTTAGCGTATTAATGATAATTGTTTTAAATTCCTGGTCTGCCATTTCCAACATCCCTGTCATATCTGGTTCTGATGCTTGTTCTTTCTCTTCAAATTATGGGTTGTTGTTTTTGTTTTGTTTTGTTTTGTTGCCTTTTCGTATGTTTTGTTGTTGTTGTTGTTTGTTTTGTTTTTGGGTGTGTTTTTTTATAGCTCCACATAATGTACTGGGTAAAATGCTTGTAAATAGGCCTTTAGTAATATAGTGGTAAAGTGTGTAGGGAGAGGAAGCATTCTTATAGCCCTATGATTTGTTCTGTCTTTTAGTCTGAGCCATGCCTCTGGACTGTGAACTTCACAAGTATTTCTCAGTTTTTTTCTTCTCTGCTTAGGGTGGATGGTGTGGTCAGATAGGTTCTGATGACACCTGGCAGGTCAGGCTCTGGTTAACTAATTTCTCCTGGGGGCAGACTCTGTTAAAAACAGTGTGCTCCCTAACTTCAAAACGGTTCTTTTTCCCCTCTTCCTGCTGAAAGCGTTTGGGACTTTTCTGATATTTACCGTGGGGACCTGGTGGAGCTCCTGCAGGTGAATCAGCATTATCCACAGTGAGCTTCCAGCAGTTCATCAATTACAGTTCAGCTTTTCCTACCCCAGCACTGGTTTCCATGGCATTGATCACTCATGAGTCTGCTCTGTTGTTCTGTCTCTCCAGTCTTGGAAGCAGTGGTTTGCCTTATGTCCTTCTCTGCCTTACAGACCCAAGAAGTGTTGATTTTTTTTTCTATTCAGTTTTTCCTTCTTAGGACAGAGTGGCAACTTTAAAGTGCTTACATGTAGAACCAGAAATCAGAATTCTGTATTACTTTTTAATTTAAATTTTAAATGCATAAGGAAAGACCTAATTTTATATAATAAATAGGATGACTCAACATTTTGAAAAGCTTAACTACTAATAAATTATGAAATTTTGGAATTGTCGTTTAAGTAGAAATTGTTTGTATTTTAGATAACGTTCACTCATCCAAGCCTAGACATTCAGGGCAGAAGCATAGAATATGCACAGCGACAAATATCCAAGGAATGTGGAGGCCTAAAGTCCCAAAATAAGGTAAGTTATCTTAGTTTATCTTCTGATAGGGACTATAACTAACGAACATATAAGTGAAGTTTTCTAGTCCTTCTAATTCTCTATATAGTTGAATTGTACTAGGGAAAAAAAATTTAGTGTATAAGTTTGCTACATAAGTGCTTGTAAACCCTAATACATAAATTCTATCCAAATTTCTAGTGTGAGTCTGGGGGATATCAACAGTGTATTTATCACCAGATAGAACCAATAAGAATTATACAGAGTTAATTTAATGGACTTCACCTTTAGCCCAGACCTGGAATTTTTTTTAGTCCCAGTACCAAATATCTGGGGAATAGAAGTTTGCCCCAACCTGGGTCAGGTGCTTACTTGTAGACTAGTCACTGTGTCCAGGGACTGGGGCCAGGAGATACAAATGCAACTTCTAGAAGCCCATCTGAATGGGTAAATAAAAGGATCATTTTGATTTAGACCTTGTAGGATTTATCTCCAGATTTACTTTGCTCCTTGGCCTCAAGGAGACAGTCTACCCAGAAGGAGGGGTGAGGGAGGTTGTATGCATATGCATATGCATATGCATTTGCATTTGCATATGTATATGAATATGTATGTGGTGTGGTGCATTTTAAGTTATTTTCAGAGACCTACATAGCCAAGCTTTAAAAAGTATATGTCTTTGTATTAGTTTACTAGGGCTATCATAACAAAGTACAACAGACTAGATGGCTGGAACAACAAGAATTTATTTTCTTATGAGTCTGGAAACTGAAGTCCAAGGTCAAAGTGTTAGCAATTTGGTTTCTTCAGGGACCTCTCTCCTTGGCTTGTAAGTGGCCACTTTCTTGGTGTGTCCTCACAGGTCTTTGCTCTTTCATGCATATCCTGGTGTCTCTCTCTGTGTCCAATTTCCTCTTAAAAGTACGCCAGTCAAATTGGATGCATTAAGGTTCACTCTCAGGGCCTTCTTTGAACTTAATGACCTTTTTAAAGTCCCTGTATCTAAATATAGTGACTTTCTGAGATAGTGGAAGTTGGTGCCTCAACTCATGAATTTGGAGAGGACATGGTTCAGCCCATAACATTCTACCCGTCTGGTCCCCTAAATTCATGCCTTTCTCACACGCAAAAATTCACTCCATCACAGCAGCCCCCAAGTTTAACCCATTCCAGCATCAACACTCAGTCCCAAGTCTCATCTAAGTTTCATCTAAATCAAGAGTGGGGTGAGACAAAATATGATTCATCCTGAGACAAAATACCTTTCTATCTGGAAACCTGAGAAGCCTGAGCAGTTACCTGCTTCAAACTGTGATTGTGGGAAAGGCACAGAATCGATATTTCCATTCCAAAAGGGAGAAACTGGAAAGAAGAAAGGAGTCATGGGTTTCTTAAACAAGTCCAAAACTTAGCAGAGCACAAATTTCATTAGATTTTTACGGCTCAGAAACAATCCTCTTTGGCTTGATTTTTTTTTATTCCTTCGCGGGGGTGGCCCTGACCCTGGGCTTCCTGGCCCACGGGAACTGAGGAAGTGGCCCCATCCTATTGAACTGAGGAGACAGCCCTAACATTTCCAGTTCTTCCCTTAAAAGATAATGCATGTTCCCAGCCAGATAGCTCTGTTTGCCAGTCCTGTAAATGCTATTACTTTGACAACCTTGATTCATTTCCTCTCAACTCTGTCCCCTTAGATCCAACCTGGCAGCATTTCAGCTGAGGTGGTTGATAGGATCTATGAGTCACACCATAACCTCTTTATCCTATGATTATCTAGCCACACCTTTGGTATTTTCTTCTTTTTTATCCACACCCGAGGATATGTTTATTGATTTTGAAAGAGAGAGAGACATCCATTGCACCCAGATGGGATCGAACCCACAACCTTTTGGTGTATGGGACAATGCTCCAGCCTACCTATCCAGCCTGGCCAGGGCCACACCTTTGGTGCTTTCTTCAGAGCATGCTTATAAGTTCTGCCTTCCACAAAACACTAGAATACAATTCTTTCCCCCCCTTTTTTTACCACTTCCTTTCACTATCCAGTATTATGTTTAAAGTTCAAGGCTATCTAGGTTTTTTATTACGTGCACCTCAAAACTTTTTGCGCCTCTGTCTATTACCCAGTTTCAAAGCCATTGCCACATTTTAGGTATTTGTTACAGCAACCCACTTCTCAGTACCAATAGATGAGTCACGATTCTCCAGAGAAACAGAACCAATAAGACGTGTATATATAGAGGTTTCTTTTAAGGAATTGGCACACGTGATAGTGGAGGTACATCTCCAAACCCTGCAGGGTAAGCTGTCGGGCTTGAGAAGCAGGGAAGAGTTGCAATCAGTCTGTTCCATTAAGGCCTTCAGCTGATTGGATGAGGTTCACCTATATCATGGAGGCTGATCTTCACTCTTCATTGTCCACCAATTTAAATGTGAATCTCATCCAAGAAACATCTGTACTTAAACATTGAGAGTAATGTTTGACCAAATATCTGGGCACCATGACCCAGCAAAGTTGACACATAAAATTCATGTTTACGGTCCTTATTGCAGTTTTCATCTCTTCCCTTTGTAGGTCCCTCGACACGTCAGCTTTCAAGATGAGGATGAGATTGTCAGAATAAACCCTCGAGATATCTTAATCCGTCGCTATGCGGACTACAGGCATCCTGACATGTGGAAAAATGACTTGGAGAGAGATGATACTGACTCCAATATTCAGTTTTCTAAACCAGACAGTAAAAAATCAGACTATCTGTACTCTTGTGGGGATGAGACTAAGTTAAGTTCATTCAAAGACTCTGTGGTATTTAAGACACAGCCTTCCTCATTAAAATTTAAGAAGTCAAAACGAAGAAAAGAAGATGGTGAGCGTTCTCGCTGCGTATACTGCCAGGAAAGGTTTAATCATGAAGAAAACGGCAGGGGGAAGTGCCAGGATGCTCCAGACCCTATTAAAAGATGCATCTATCAAGTTAGTTGCATGCTCTGTGCCGAGAGCATGCTGTATCATTGTATGTCAGACTCAGAGGGAGACTTTTCTGATCCCTGTTCATGTGACACTAGCGATGACAAGTTCTGCCTACGATGGTTAGCCTTGGTAGCTCTTTCTTTCATTGTACCATGTATGTGCTGCTACGTCCCTTTGAGAATGTGCCATCGTTGTGGGGAGGCATGTGGGTGTTGTGGTGGGAAACATAAGGCTGCTGGATGAAAGGATCTAGGGCCAAAATGAGTTTAAAATCTTTGTTTCCAGGCACTAGCTAACTTGGATTTGCAGAAGCTTTCGGCAAGCAACATGAAATCTTGCCTGGTGTCATAGGGGCCACGCGTGGAGGAAGCAGCACTCGTCAGTTCTTGGCATTTCACAAATGCCAGCCATGCCTAACTTTTCCCTTGAGCGCATGGCACGTTTTGTTACAGGTTGTAAAGCGTATTTGCAAAAGGAAACCATTTCTGGTTATTGGCTATAAAAAGGGATCATAAAATATGATCTGACTAAAAGGGATTAATTTTTGGCATTTTTGTATATTTATGCATTAGGTGATGGGACTTTTAAAGGTTTGAATTCATTAGGACATGAACTAAAAGTGCACTAGGGAACAGCTGATTTCAATCTAAGAAAAGTTAACACTTGGAAATTATAAGAAGTTAAACAAGTGCACCTAAATCATTTATTGTTTTTTGAAAGCAGTTTTATGTATAAATAACAAATGTTTATATTTAACTAAATACAAGGTACGAATTATGACATTAAACTTTTCTTCCCCTTCCTAGTTCTGAAGTAGATGTACATATATCTACGGTCACATTCCATTATATTTTGCATATTTTACTCATCTAATTAATATAACATTTTTATTCCATGTGAATGATTTGATATTTCCATCTTTGTTTCCTGTTGGCTACGGTTTATATTGAGTTCTATCTGTACATTCTGGTAATCTAAAATTCTTTAAAATATTCTAATAGCCTTGAGTGACCAACTTTTTTTTAAAGCACAGATATAATCGTCTAATGTTCTGATGGGAACGTAACACTTATTTTTATATAAAAAGAGATTGTGTAAACATAGAAAAAAAAAGAGGTTTTGGGGGCTGTTGTTTTGTTTTTTGTGGTATTCAACCAGCAAGTTGTTTTCTTTCAGAGTTTCCTCCTTCAAAAAATTATATTGCATTTACAAATATGTCACAAGACAAAGAAGTGTAACTGGATGGTTAGTGTAAAAGTTTCCTCCTAAGATCTCCGTTTATCATTCTGCTAACCCAGAATTCGTTCAGCTGTGTTACTAATTTTTTTAGCTTAATCCTCAGTGCTCATTATTCACATAATACCAGTAGCTTTTTTCAGTTGCATTTTATTTTATTTAAACCAGCCAAAAGCAAAATTATTTTACGTTAAAGTATGTGCTAAACTATCCCAGGAAAGTATTTAATCCAACATTGTGAATGAAATACCTTGTACATAAAAATTTATTTCTTTTGCCGAGCATTGTATCACTGGATGTTTTATTTACAAAGTAGTTGGATAAGCGTTCCAACAAATTATTTAAAGTACTTTGGGATCAAATTGTCTTCTTTTTTTTTTTTTTAACTGTTACATTTAAACTCTAATCAAGTAAGGGTTCTTTAAGAACATTCCCTTAGAGGGATCAAGTTGAGAAGCGTGCCTTTCTATTTAATGGCTTGAAGTTTCAGAAGTGATAAACATTAAAATCACACTACCATTTGAAGCTCATTTTCTATGCACGTTTTTAAATGTCATTTATGTATCATTCTTTTTACGTTCACACTTAAGCTTGTGTTAGCTGTCTTCTTTTGCCCCAGATCAAACTGAACAATGTATATAACACTATCTGTCTGTAAAATACTTTTTTTAAGAAAGCATTTATATTTATATGACAGCTTGAACTGACAACATTGTGTATATAGATCATCTTGAAGTATTATTTCACATTGAAAAGAAGAAAAATATATTGATAACTATAGATGTTATGAAGAAGAGGTTATTTCTAGTTTTGTACTAAAAATCAATTGGATGAACTAAATCCAAACGTGACACTGTCGCAGCAGTTTTAAGTCTTATTTTTACTGTTTATATATTTGGACGCTGCTGTACCAGATGATCTTCATCCCTGAAGTTTTCAGCTAAACTCGGTTACCTAGAATAGACTGTTAACTTTCAAAATTACTTCTTACTGATGGAATGGAAATATTGATTTTCCTTATGAATAAATTTTCATATTTGTAAGTGTGGAGTTTATAATTCAGGTTTGAGCAAGGTGTGAATAACTGAAGAAAATAACTTGCTGGCTATATAGGAAAATCTGTGGAAATGGACTGTGTATATATTTCTGGGGAGAACAAATATAATCATTTCTTCTGTTAAGCACTAATCAGTATAGTGCAACTCCTGGTTCTGTACTGTATTTTATATGCAACATATATGCTTTAATATTTTAATGTTTGTGCATTAATATTTTCAAATTGTTTTAACCACTTTGCTGCTAAGATTTTGCCGTCCCATCCCCATTTTTTTCCTTTACAATTTTAAACAAGTTTCTTCATTAAAAACGATGGTGATAAAATGGTTTTATTTCACCTTGGATCTTTATAGTTAACACACCCAGTTTCTAAATTGGTCTAGAAAACTAGTAACATGTTATCTGAATCCCTATGTGGAAAGTTTCTCTTGAGTAAATTAGAATTCGTATGTGAAAAATAAAGGGTGGTTTAAATTTCTTGCTCTAACGTGTATAGGTATGTTCAGGGACATTTTCTCGTTCCGCATACAGATTTGGCACTGCACTGCCAGCTGGCTTTTCTAAAACCTTTCTCTGTTTTTAATCTGGTAGTTTAAGCAAATGGCTAAACAGAACTGCTTACGTAATAATAGTAAATATGGAAAATGAAATCATCTAGATGGCATGACAAGAAAGACTTCGGTCTGATGGTGTGTTGTGTTCAGACCTGATAATTCGGAAATGTTTTTTCTCCTGCCTTGAAGGTGGGGGGCTAGTGAGGGAATCTCTAGGTTTCTGAAGAAATAATGAGGTGTGGAACTTCAGCACCACCTACTGGATGATTTATAGGCCAGAACCGTGAGGTAGCAATTGGGGTCTGACAGGGTTCGTCACTATTACTGTAAAGGGCTATTTGAGTGGTGGTCACCGCCAAGCGGAGAAAGCAGGAGTAAGATCTATATCTCAGACTATAAAAGGAATATTTTACCTAACGTGTCTTGTTGGTTGCTGAAAGATTTTAAGCACTTTTTCCTCATATATCCTGAATTAAAATATTTTATTGATATTTGGAACTGGCAATCAATCTTAATTAATGGATGTGCCGAAGCATTTATAGAACCAATTCTTTCAACTTTCTAAAGCCATTACCAAATGGTATTCTTATTTTTCCTCCCATTGCTAGTCAGGGAGAATTTTTAAAAAAATAAACATCAATTACATCAAGACAACTTTAGAGGGAGTATGTGTTTATGTCTCTGGGATGCTGGGGCAGGGGAAAACTTGAAATTACCTATTTTCATTGGTTATTCAGCAGTGCCTAATATGAACTTTTGAAGTAATACAAATGCACTTTTAATTCTTGTTATAGTGCCATCTGATATCTTAGGTAAGTCTTGCTTTTTCTTTTATTTTTCTTCCCCATCCTCAACTCCAACCCCCATTTAATTGAACACCACAAAGATGTTTCTTAATATCCATACAAGTCTCCCAAATACAAAAAAGTACTTTCCTCTATATTTAAAGAATCTGAAGGGTGTTTCTTATATTGAAATTTGTTTTTAGTCTTGTGATTACACTTTAGACTATGTATTTAGGAGTGGGTTCATATTGAAATTTGTTTTTAGTCTTGTGATTACACTTTATGTATTTAAGAGTGGGTTTTTAATTTTAGCCCAAAGATGCATTAAGCAAGTGTAACATTTTTCTAAAAACTTTGAAACCTTAGTTACCTGAAAAACAGATTCTTCACTAAATATCTTGTTCTTAATTTGACCTCCAGAATTACATTTCTAAGTATAAGAGAAAGTACTGGAAACTTGCATTGTTGTGTACTTAAACATTTTTTGGTCTGTAAACCACCATGAGATATTTTGCAGGAAATCAAAACAAAAAAGAAATCACAACCTGGAGTGATTTATATAAACCAAAAACAAGGGCTTTAAGGTATTAAGGTACTGTTTGCTAGCAGCCAGGTGGTTATAAACCTTTCATATGCTTTGATTCACTGATGTTAGCCATTGTTTCTGGAAGCTCCTTAAATTGCATAAGTTGCTAGTTTTGAAAATTTTCAAAAATAATCTAGTCGAAAATCTTATGTATTAAAGATACACATAGATTTTTGTGAACATTACCAGTATGTAGTGTCGTTTGCTTTCTATTCTTGACCTCAGAAGTGCCTCACTTGTATATTACTTCCATTAAAAGCTTGACTGCATTCTTTCTAATAAGCATTGAAGTATTGTTTAACTCATGTCATAATGTATCTCCTTAGATATAGTTGACTAGCTTGGTAGTTTTGGGTATATAATGTAAATATGCATATATAAGTTTGTAACTGTTTTTGTTACATCATACCCATGTAATTGGACATATCAGATGATATCAAAGAATTTGTTTTCATTACCTGATTAAACCTATCATGAAATATAAAAAGACTTTTTCTTACTCTTCTAGAGGATAACAAACTCACGTAAGAAATAATAATTATGAGAGGAGGAAGCAATAGTAGAAATGGAAGCTTTTGATCATAATTTTGTAAGGTAATATTTTTAACTGAGAATTAAAATATAGTTCATCTTAATGACTTACATATTCACCCTTGATTGTATCCAGATTTTTTACAGTCTGTTACCTAATATTGTACATTATATTTATTGGTTGGGGAATACGTTACAGCTAAGTCTAGATTAACCACCTTAACTGGTAGGTGAGACATGTTTAACCCAAGACGGCTACTAATTCTTTTTGTGTGTCTCCTAGTAAGTTTCAAAATTTGGCTTAACTTGTAATATAAACAAAGATAGCCAATAATCTAAATGAAAAATTATTGGGATATTACTTAAAATCATAGTGTATTTCAACACCAAAATAACCATTAGCTTATTGTAATACAGTTGGATTTGTTTGAAATCAAAAATTAACTGTTTATACCTTTAACCATGAATTACGAAATGTAATCTCATGTGCTTATTTACAGGTTTTTCAGAAATTTGCTTTATAGTCTTCCCCTCAAGTTAATACCCACAAGTAAGTAGGATGGTCTTCACATCAGAGAAATTGAAACTAGGGTTCCTGCTTGGTCATCAGTTAAGTATCATGTACACAGTGGTCCTTTGAAAAAAGTCGATAGTAATATGAGATCTGGAGTCAACTCATTTAAATTAGCTGCTCTAAATTTGCAGTTTCAGACCCTTGAAATGATGTTCAAAAACATAATTCATAATAAAAGTCTAACTGCAAAACATAGGTGAAATGGTGTTTTGTCTAGCAATCTTTATTTTTGTTAATGTATTTTAAATGATCACTTTCAATCCTCAAATAACCCTATATTGTATTATCTTCATTTTACTAAAGAGGAGATTTAGGCTTCAAGAGGTTAATAAATATTCCCAAAATCTCTTTAGAGGCACCAGGATTTGAAATTTGCTTACTCCAAAGTCATATTTTAGTCACAGTGCATTTTGCCTTTTGTTACAAAGGTCACTTTTATAGAATAAGCATTGTTTTGTTCAAATGCAATTTTTTAAGGGAATACTTTCTTAATTTCCAATCACATTTGTTTCATTTCTGGGTTCGCTTTTTATCTATCTTACTAGGTTATGCACTATCCATCATATGGCACGTGGAGTTCCATAAAATTGGGATGATGCTTCAATATGTATCAATTGTATGCTGATCCAATAGAAAGCACTAAAGACATTTCATATATATATATATATATTTGTGTGTGTGGTATTGTTCATCTTGCCCAATTGGTATTTTGCTAAAGACTTTGAGTCAGAGGGATTCTTTTTCACCCAAGCATTGGTACTTCCTCTTGAGATAGTAGGGGGGGAAATGCTCTCAAATGAGTCTTCTGTCTTCTGTCCTGTTTCTTTTCAAAGGGCCAGCCGCTTGTACATCAGTTATCCCACAAAGCCTGCCTTTGAACCAAAGTTCCATTTGCACATGTGTCAGAATGATTAGGTTAGTGTCCCCTCCTCCCCCAAACTTAATTTTAACCTGGAAATAATTTGTAGTAACCTACAGGCTGTGTGCAATTAGGAAAGAGGTTGGACAGAAAGAATTCCAGAATTTCTAATACTGAAATAATTCTTTCTGGACAGTGAAACTTAAGGAGACCTGTGTAGCTTTTGTCCCCATTGCTTTTTAATTTTGCATTTCAAAATTGCAAGCTATTTATTTATATCTTTTTATTTACTTTTGAAATGGGATACAGAAGATCTTAAGTATATTACTTAAGTATATTACTAACATAAACCTCTTCTTGTGCCCTCTATATTTTCTTCCCTCCTTTCCTCAGTTATAGGAATACTAGAGGCCCGGTGCACAGATTCGTGCACGGGGGAGGAGGGTTCCCCTCAGCCTGGCCTGCGCCCTCTTGCAATCCGGGACCCCTTGGGGGATGTCCGACTGCTGGTTTAGGCCAGGCTGGCATGCAGGGATCGGGCCTAAAGCGGCAGGAGGTCAGGGAGGAGCCCCAGCCGAGCGCTGCTAGAACTCATCCCGGCCCACTGTGCCTGCCGCCGCCGCTTGGTAGCACTGCCAGGACAGCTGCGCTCGCCAGATACGAACCCCACTTCTGGCTAAGCAGTGCTCCCCCTGTGGGAGTGCACTGACCACTGGGGGCAGCTCCTGCACTGAGCGTCTGCCCCCTGGTGGTCAGTGTGCATCATAGTGACTGATCGACCGGTCGCTTAGGCTTTTAATATATACAAACATTTCTCCAAAACTAGGAGGGGAAGAATTCATGGAGAAGAAATTTCAACAGTTTATTATAATTATTTTTTAAATTATTGTATTCTGGAGAAAAGCCAGCAAGCCTAACTGTGTTTTTCATCGGTAGGGGAAGCCAGTGTGTCGCCATCTTAAAATTTAAGAGAAAACAAAGTTTTATGAATCCCTTAGCTTTGGGATAGTTGTGCATCATAGTGACTGAGGCTCGCGAGCCACATGCGGCTTTTTGGCCCCTTGAGTGTGGCTCTTCCTAAGCCTTAGGAGTACCCTAATTAAGTTAATAACAATGTACCTACCTATATAGTTTAAATTTAAAAAATTTGGCTCTCAAAAGAAATTTCAATCGTTGTACTATTGATAATTGGCTTTGTTGACTAATGAGTTTGCTGACCACTGGGATAGTTTAATAGTTCTTGTTAAATTGCCAAAGTAAAATGCACATGGCATATACTCCAGAATTTTAAGAAGGAAGTAGGAATTCAACCCAAATGACTTAAGATTACTGAAGAAGTTGATTTTATTGATGTTTTAGGGCTGGGAGACATCTTTGAGATTATAAATACAACACCCTTATTTTGCAAATGTAGAAACAGGCCCAAGCAGGCTACGA